TATTCAAGTCATATTCAGTACACCCAATTCATAATGTGTGAAAAGACTACCCAAATATAGATCTTTAAAGATTTATTTATGAGAGAGAGTGTGAGCACGTGTGAGTGGGGAGTGGGAAGGGAGGGGCAGAGAGAAAAGATTTAAAGCAGACCCCCCCACTGAACAAAGAGCCAGATCTTTATGTGGGGCTCGATCCCAGGACCTTGAGCTCATGACCTGAGCCAAAATCAAGAGTCTGTCGCTTAACCAACTGAGCCAACTAGGTGCCCCCAAGACTATCCAGATTTTTAGAGCTCATCTAAAGGGAATGTGCCTTGTACTTGAAGAGCTCCTAAGAGATGGTTCTGGAAGCCTGGATTTTAGGCTTTCCTGATTTTCACGAAAAATTTTTATACTTGACATTTCACAAGGAGAAAAAAAAAAAGCATAACAAAACCAGAAGTCACTGTAAAAGTACTCGAATTCTCTATTTAGATGCAATCAAAAAATATTTTATTTATTTAGAGAGCAAGAGAGAGTGAGTGGGAAAAGGGGTAGAGGGAGAGGGAGAATCTCAAGCCGGCTCTGCCCTGAGCACAGCGCCCAATGGAGGCTCCATCTCACGACCCCAAGGATCACCACCTGAGCCCACCCAAATCAGGAGTCGGACCCTTAACCGACTGAGCCATCCAGGTGCCCCTAGATGCAATCTTAACCAGGTTAGCCTTTAGCACAGAATTCAATTCATACTTTAAATTGAGGTCATTAAAAATTGTTGAAATGGCAGCAAAACAGAGGTCAATTTTTGGCAACCCCCCCCCAAAAGAAAGTGTGACATGCTTAGCGTTGGTCTACTTAAGTCTAATAACAAAGGACCGTCACGTTTTCCAGGGCCAAAGGTCAAGAACACTTAATGACAATTAAGAGATCTCAGCAAGAGTTCTTGCTCTGCTCAACAAGACGGCTGCAGAAGCACTTTTAAATAATGGCTCATAAACCCACAGCAGCATTCAGAAATGTCAGGACAGACTAGATGAAACACAGTTGGCTAAGCCAGAAGCTGCCCGAACATCAACTGGCTGAAGAGCGATGGTCCTCCAAGTGTCCCTCTCTTCCCTCCCCACCAGCGGCATAAGCGACACCTAGACACCTATCAGACACACAAACCCTCCCACCTCCTGCAGGACATCCTGGTGTACCAAGCCTTCCAGGTGGCTGTGGTTCTAGCGCACTGCTGTGGAAGGTCCTACAGTGGTTTTTACATGTGAAACCAAGAACAAGATGCTCGGTTTGGCGTGTCAGGCTCGTCCTATCTTGGCTGACCCACGCTCCACTTCCCACTGCCCATCTCTTTCGGTGGGCAGCCCGAAGAGTAGGACTTTGTTCAAACACACTTTCAAAAGGCCCTTAGAGATAGGTCTAATGGAAAAGTCAGCTAGTTTTCCTATGTTACCATAGAAACAGGAAGCATCATTTACTCCTGTAAGAAAGGTCCCCTTTGCAGGGGACATTGAATATTTACAGAAAGATCTCTTTATCCTAGGAAACCAAGTTTTGGAAAAGCAAATATGGGAAACTTAGCCTCTAAGGCTTCCATATACACCTTAAGAGCCAATGTTCTAAGTGAACTTTCCCTAATTATGGCTGCCCAATAAGGAAAACATGTGTCCTGGGCAAACCTATGCGGTCTACTCTGAAAGACATAATTTCCATGTAAGGGAGAAGAAGATTGTCTTAGCTCCTGCCCCCTACTGGTCCCTTGGCCCCAAATCCACAGGGAAAGGGGCTTCATCTCTACCCATCCTTAATGACACTTGAGTGTCCTAGGACCATTTTTTAAGCTACACCCAGTCCTACTTCTGGGAGTTGCCATAAACATAATAGTGTTTATTTCTGGATTATAAAATCAATTTCATTTTCTGTGTTATTCTTTATTTGTATAGTTTATAAACAGCTTCTGTATTTACTATCTCATCTGATTCTCGTAACAACCTGTGAGGTAGGTACAATTTTATTATTCCCACCGAGAAAACTGAAACTTAGTGGTGACTTCAATAAACTGACCACTGAACAGTAAGGAGGAAAGACAAATGTTTTGCATCAAAAATTTAAAAATTCATGACGTCCCTGCCCCCCAAATTCTAAACTTGCTTGAATTGGTATCTGCCCAATGAGACTCACTAAAATCGTTAAGTAGGTTTCTAGGTTAGGTGGTATTTCCTGGCTTAGGAAGGGTGGAGAGCTGAAAGCTCCCAGCTACAGAATGGATACAACCTGCTAGGACATCTGGAACTCTATGGGATTCAAATTTACAACAACAATGGTGATGAATAATGGCCCTAAGATTTTTTCAACTCCTACTACAAGACAGGCACCGTTCTATGTTCATTAAATATATTTAACCACCCTATTCACAGCAACGTTTTACAGATGAGGAAAACAAGGCACAGAAAAGCTAAGTAACTTGCCCAAGAGCACACATCTTGCTCCCTGCTCACAAAGGAGGATGTGGGACTGGAGGTGCCAAGCCCCTATAAGGTGTGCCTGGCCAGTGACGGAAGTCCGACATGGAGGGCAGCCACCACAGGAACCTGGATGACGTTTCCAATGTTGCCTTTTAAGCAACAGTCTCCGCCTGCTCGCTGCCAAAACATCAATCAACGCTCAGGTTCAAGTAATCAGGAGCATCAGCTGAGACTACAAACAACCCACTCCTTTTCAGACTGTCCCTACGAAAGCTGGGAAGGAGGGGAGATATCTTGGTTTTCTCGATTTGCTGATTTGCCTAGAACTGCGTTCAACTAATTTAAGAAAAATTAGAGAGGGAAGCAGCACTGGAGGAAATGTGCAAATTAAAGATGCATGTGGCACTGATAAGTGCTGTTTAGTAATCTAGCAGAAAATGAGGTGGGAGGCAGAAGTTGGAATCAATGATCAGAACGAACAGCTTTTTTTTTTTTTTTTAAGAAATACAGAACAAAAAAAGGGTATCCTGCCTTTTCCTCTTTTTTCTTTTTTCAACTGCTTCTATTTTGGAATTGTATGAGCAGCTTTTTTACACACTGATCAATCTTTTTAGGTTTATACATCTTTTTCTCAAGGAAGGAAGCAAAGATCAGGTTCAACTCTTGAGCAAAAAGGAAAAATAACATGATGAATGCTTGCAGTCTTCATGGGCAAGTGCAGTATGGGGGGGGCAGGGCAACTTTCAAAGGTGTTCTCAAATTTGCACGCCTTCATCATTTCCCATCTCTGATTTTCAGCTAATGACCTAAGGCCACCTTGAGATCCTCGGAGTCCACCAGAAAACCCAATTTAACAAGTTCTTGGGTATTCCATATAATCTCTCCTTCAAGAAAAGTCCCCAAATCGGGAGAGGAGACTATGGTGACAACAGGTGACATTTCAAACCCTCAATCCTTCCACACTCTAATAATCCTGACCCAACTACTTACTAATGGTGGGCCTGTGTGCTTCCTTTTCCTCCTCTGTAAAATGAAGATAATACCTTCTTCGTCAGGTTGGTGTGAAAAGTTAATGAAATCATATAAAGCATTTAGAACAGTTCTGGGCACGGAGTAAGTGCTCAGAGAGCATTAGCTATTATGACCATTAGTGACAGAATTTGCAAAAACACATCGCAGAGGCATCCACAAAGGGAAGGCTTCTGATGTATTGGTCACGTTTTGTTGCTTCAAAAAAAAAAAAAAATCTAAAATCAGAACAACCATCAATACAAAAAACCTAAAAGTGTTTTGGGAAAAGGGGGGGAGCCACCCAGAATCGTGCCACCTGTTGGTGAGTTTCAGGTGAGGGAGGGTACAGCCCAGAGCACTGGGTTCCACTACTGCCACCGCACCCCCCCACCCCCGTTTTCTCTTTCTCAGCGTTTCAGGCGCAGGATTACAGGCGGCTCTGCAAGCACCCTGAAACTGGGTGAGGCTGTGGGGCTGGGTATTAGGGGTGCAGGTGGGTTGGGAGGGCTCCACAGCTCTTCTCAGGCTCCAATAAATTCTCCAGGTAGGATCTACTTGCTTTACAGGGTTAAACTCAAAGGATACCGACTGAGGAATTCATTTCAGGGAGCTGCACCAATAAACCCGGACACCTGGGCTGTTAACCGGCTGTCTCAACACCGCAGAGGCCGGGCGCCGCGAGGGGCGAGAGCCGGCCGGCCGGCCAGCGCACGGCGCTGCACCCCTCACCACTTACACGCAGACCTGTGAACTTCACCGCGGAAAAACTCAAGGGCTCCACAGACAAGACCCAGGTTTGCCGGGTTAAACTCCCCTCCCTTCCCCCATCTCTCCTTCCCTTCCAAGAACAAACTCAAAGGAAACTGGCAACTCTCCGTCTAGGGTTTCGCTCCTGCCCTCGGCTGACACTTCAACCACTTCTCCCAGGGAAGTTAATTAAAAGAACAATTAATCCGCACAAAAATCCAAAACATACCCCAAAGCTCGAGAGCTCCTCAAGTTAGATGACTGAGGGCGCCTCTGCTGATTGTGACCATCTGCCCGTCACTGGGGCTCAGGGCTAGGCAGGGGGTACGACTGGGAAGCGGGCAGGGTCCCGCCGTAGGGGCTGACGCCCGCCGCTCCCATCGCGTCTACGCTCACCGCCGTCCGCGTAGACGGGCTTGGTGGGATACAGCCCGGTATGCAGGTAGGTGTGAGCAAGTGGAAGAACACACAGCCGCGGCGGATTAAAGTTCAAGCCCGTTCACACACCGCTTCCCCTTCCCCGGCCGGCGTTCTCACGCACGGCCCGGGGGGCCACTCCCCGGGGAAAGCCTGGGCGCTCCACGGTCCCCCCCTTCGGAAGGGGCTCCCCAAATCCCTAGGAAGCCCTCGTGACTTCCCTTACCCCCCAGCCTCCAACCCTTGAAAAGCAGGAGCCTCCCTCGACTCTCCTAGGCGGGCGCAGAAAACCCCCGGGAAAAGAGCAATGGAGGGGCCAGGGGAAAGCGGGGTGTCGCCGAGGGCAGGTGGCTCGGGGCGCGCAGCAGGCAGCGTACGTACCTAGCGCGAACAAGGCGAGCTGTCCAGCCGAGGGGACCATCTTACGGGCGGCGGGCAGCAGGCGCTCCAGCCTCCTGCCCTACCTGCGGTGCCCGAGTGGCGAAGCGGCGCCGCGCTGCGGGGGAAAAAGGCGCCGGCGAGGCAAGGCCAGCCCCCGGCGCGGGCGGGCGGAGGCAGGACCGAGCGCTCTCTGCCGCACTCACCCCGCTGAGCGGCCGGCCGGGCGGAAATGGGAAGGCGGTTACCGTCACCTCTCCGCCACTCGGCGACCGGGCCACCGCGGACCACGCTCCCGCCCCGGTGGGGGTGCCCCCCTACGGCCACGGTGGGTGGGGGTGTGGGGCTGGGGGCGGGGACGCCGCGCGCACCGTGCAGGGCGCGGGCGGCGGCGGGCGGGGCGGGGCGAGCGGGGGAATCTCGGAGCCCCGCCGCGCGGGCCCGACACCCGGGCGGCCGGGAAGGCAGGAAGCGCCCGACTTCAGCCACCACCCTCAGACGAGCCGCGCCGTGCGGCCGCCGCGCAGCTGGAGAGTGCGGGCGCGGTGGTCGCTTCCAGGCTCTGCGCCGGGGAGCGGAGCCGCGCGGGCGTCCGGCACCTGCGCGGACGGCGGCTGCGGGGGGCTCTCCCGGCCGGGGACTGGGGACGCAGCCCGGAAGGCGACCGGCGAGCTTCGCCCGCCGCCTGCCAGGACTTGGCCCCAGGAGAGGGCTCTCCAGAATCAAGAGAATTTGTTCAGCTAGGTTTCCTACCCGCACCCTTATCCCGATAGAGAATTCTCGATGATAGGAATGCCGGCCTCCAGGGCACATTGTTAAGATCCCTGGGCTTTCATATATCCGGCCTGGGATGAATAATGATGATGGGTCTCTAAGGGTCCCTGGTTATCCATCATTAGTACCACCCAGTCCACCTCCCCGCACCCCCCCCACAGGCAGCTGGGGCCAAGAACTGGGTAGCGTGCTGCAAGGGGGCCAGAGAGAGGGATGTATGGGCTGGAGCCACCTGGGTGGCTCTTTAAGGATTTGTGGCTTGGAGCTGGCCCCTGGTGCTGGAATTTGGGCAAGTGGAGGACACGGAGGGAAGATCTTCTGGGTGGAGAATGGAAGACCCATAGGTTTCTTGGGGACCATCCCAAAGTCCCCTGAGGATGGTTCTTAGAGGACAGTATGCCCCCAAGAAGCAGTAACCCATCTTATTTTCCAGATGTCCCAAGCTGAGGGACTAAATCTTTTCTATTGACCCCTCCCGCCTGGCTGCTTAGGTTAGACCCACTTTCCTTGGGTGGGTGGCTGGGCAGTCGAGGTTGGGGGAAATCTCTTGCTGTTTTCTTGGCCTAAAACTCAGACTTTCAGGGTTAACTTTTGTTAAGTTTGTTTCATAGGAGCTGAGGGGCCTAGTTTGGAAAAGGAGGCATCAGGCCGTTGGCCTCAGCATTTGGCAGGAAACACCAGCGTAGAAAGGGATTTTGAAAACACCCTAAATTTACTTTGGGAAACCATTCCTTTCAATACATTTGTCAGAGGATACTTTGCTGTTCTTTCAGCCCTTAATCATCTGCAGTGAGGGCTGTGTGCTAAGTTCTGGAGTACATCTTTTCCTGTGTCCACACCATGCCTGCACACAGTAAACACACACACTCTCTTTAGTAAGTGGTCCCCGACTCCCTTCAGTGCCCACCTCCTTCAGGCTGGTATTGACCTGTTCTGGTGGCCCTTTGATCTCCTTCCTAGACTCGCCTGCCTTGGTCACAGTAGGGAAGAAATCAGTTTTCAGTGCCTTTCTCCCATTATTTAGGACCCCCAGCTAGGACTGGAAAATGGACCCATCCTCTTGTTCCCTGCTGGGAGGCACTCATCAAGTTCACAATGGTGGAGAGCTAGCTGCTCGGGCTGGCAAGAGTCAGATTCAGCAGTCTTCCCTTCTCTGCCTGCTGCGCACACACAGAGTCATGGGTGGGGAGAAGTAGCAGCAGAATCAAACCAATGAGCTTGTCCCCTTCAGGACTATAAAATCTTTTTAATCAAGAGATAATTCGGTATCTTGTAAACTAAAGAGTACTCCAATCAAAGTACATCTAATGCTTTGAAATTCTTAATTCTCCGCCAACATGTTCAAGATCCACATCTACGGTTTTATAAACCTTCCAACTCATTCGTGTCAAACAGATAATCAGCATTTTCTTACAAAGCATTTAAACATTTTTCTGTAGACTGAATTGAGATCATTTCTGAACATTTATTTATAGAGCTGGGAGGAAACCTAATATCCTAAAACGCGAATATTCTGCCTTGGGCATCTTCTATGTCTCATCCAATCCTCACAACAACCTTATGAGATAGAGTCCATCTTCCCTTTATTTGAAAATAATTGAGACCGCGAGAATTTAGTAAATACCCAGAGTCACAAAGCTTGCAAGTGGCAAAGCCCAAATCTGAAAGCAAAATGAGCTGGTTCCCAGGCTCATGTGTTGGCTTCTCTGCCAAGCTGCCTCAGTTTCCACATTTTTAATAAGGATAATACCTAACTCACTGGGTCGACATGAGGACTAGATACAGGAACCTATCTGCAGGCTTAGCACCGTATTTGTTATCAAAACTTACAGCCATTGTTGAGGGAAAGTCTCTCAGTGGACACGCCTTGCCCCTCTCTCAATTTCCTAGCATGATCCGTATTTTATCATTTCCACACCACTTCTTTTGCTCATGTCTACTGTGCGTGTGCATGTGTGAGCATGCCTTCCTACGGGGTTAGCTTCACAGGTTCCTCAGGAGTTCTAAATTTGGTTTCTGATGTAAGAGCAATGGGGAGGATATGATTTAAAGTCAAGAAATCATTTTTTCCTAAAAGATGGTGTGATGTTTTTGTATTTTAGCAGTATAGAATATGTCGCTCTCTGAGCCGTGTGACGTTCTAGCATTCTTCCCCTGTAGGCATGGCAGCTGTCTCGCCAGGCCGCCGAAGGTCCTGATTCTGTGTCCACGTACTGCCTGATGAATATGTGGCCTTCCCTCTAGGAATACGCCTGGGCTGCCTTTGCACACACTTTCTTCAGCTGGCCTTGAGCTCAAGGACCGTCCCTTCTGTCCTAAGCCAATGACAGTCTCTCCTCCCTACACAAACAAGAGAACTGTGTTGTGCTCTACTCAGCGGCTGGTAAAATCCCACTGTCAGTTTTCCCTTTCCTTTCTTCTACATACTTATTACAGAGCATATGTTTAAAGAGTCCCCTTCTTCACTGTAATCAGCCTCCCCCTCTTTCCTGATTCATCTGGGAAGAGATTGTGGGCCCACAAGCACCAGAGTCTTCCCTGAATGATTCAAGCCAGCTGAGCTTACTGTTGAGCTTGGCAATCGCCCACGATATTAGTGAGTAAATGACCAGGGCATTCTTAGGGAGGGAGTATAGCTCTGGGCCACAGCACTGACGGGACGGCAGTCCCTGCAGACAAGCTTCCGGAGCAATGACCAGAGTTGGCTTCAGGTGGCTCTGGGACCTTCCTCAGTGGCAGCAGCAGATGGGGTGCTCAGAGGGAAACCAGAAAAGGGTGCCTGGCCCAATAGGATGGCAAAGGTCAGATGTCATGTGTGTGTGTGTGTGTGTGTGTGAGAGAGAGAGAGAGAGAGAGAGAGTTTTTATAAAGAACTCTGGAGAACTCTTTAGACAGAGTGAGGAGATTTTACTGTGTCAAGGGATTTAGGAACAGAAAACTAAGCCAATGTAAGGTATTGTCCAAGTATCAGGCCCGTCTACAACCTCAGCTATTAATATATTCCTTACCTTTAGTCAAGAGAAAAATAGGAAACCTTGTGCTGAATCCATTTTTACAGTTTTCATCAACAGAATGGGCGGAGTATGAAGCTATGACATACATTGGCTTTGTCCCTCAGCTACCTGGGTGATTTTCATGGCCAATGTTGTCCAAAGAGTGGTTTGACCTTCTGCTTAATGTTTCCCACCCACCCCCCAGCTCTCTACCTTTGGAATGCACACTGAAGTTGTGTACTAAGCTTGACTCTTTCCTCCCCAAGGAATATCACAGCATGGCTCTAATGCCCACTAGTGAAGTCTGGAGGTTGATGCTTCCATGGGTGGTACACACAGGGCCAAGACATCGAGGCACTGGTCAGTATCTAAGACTGGGAGTTACCGGCTGGCTGTGACTAAAGACATCATTTTCTCATGTAGCCTGTGAACTGCCTAGATGACCAGGAAGCAGTAGAGGTACCCAGAGGATTCAGCTCAGCTGATGTCAAACTATCCCATCAAGCATGCTTGGAGGCAGAAGAGTTATGCCTTCAATCTTGCCTTTGCTGCTGTCCCCCCAGCAGCCATACCTTTCTGAGAGGATGTCCCCAGAATTCTTAGGAGTATGGAGGGGAAAGTCCGAAATCATACGCCTAGAAATCCTTAGGCAAGTAAAACTAACAATGTTGGAGGAAATAGGGTGGAGATGATCCAGAGAGGCAACAGGGAGACAGGGAAAAGAAAACAGAAGGAACTGAGGAAGGAGGAATCCAAGGGAGAGTTGTACAAAGGAGACTAAGTGATGTATTTTTCAATGATGGCTCAATCTGCCTGATAAACTCAAGAAATTCCCCCCAAGCTCAGAGGAAAAGGACAGAAGAGATAGGAGAGATAAGATTTGAGACTGAGAAAGACAAAGCCAAAATATTAAAAATCTTTTTCATAGGGTGCCCAGCAAGGAAGCTTAGAGCTGATAGAGGAGAACCTGTTCTCGAACCCTGGTTGGGAGTGCTTAGTGATGATAGGAGGGGCGTATACCTCCCATAGGTCTGTAAGGTGGAGGGGACTTTGTCTAAAGAGCCTATGATAGGTGCAAGGAAAGACTGCCATTCTGTGACATTTAAACCCTCAAACTGAACTTCTCATCCTGCCTTTCTTCCCAACTCCCATTGAAACAGCCAAAGGAAAATAATGATAGGGAGAAATCTGTCATTGTTCAAAACTGAACAAGGAGTACACCCACATACCAGACACTTCAAGGAATTTCTATGAGACTTAATGCAGATGAAACCAGTTTGAGAGAAGGGTTTGACAACCTTCAATTCCTTCACAGACAAGAACTGCCTCTCTAGGGAGAGACTCCCACCAGAGCACAGTAATGCTCCCAAAGTTGGCTGTGACAAAGAGTGTGGGCAAAATTAATCCCAGGAAAGTTGGAAGGGGCCATCTCCTTCCTATTGAAGCACCCAGAAAGGGCCCAGGTACAGGGGTGCACCCAGGGCAGGGGGCCCACTGAGGGGCTTCAGATT